TTACACAGTTTCAGTTCATCCAGCTAGAAACCACCATTAGGCTCTAAATCTGGGTGTAGTTATGGACTCAAGAACATCTTAAGGTTTAAAGGAATAAAATCTCTGCAGGACTTTGGAAAAAAGTAGCTCATGTATTTCTCCTTAGTAGACATTCTTCCCCTGGCTCCCAATTTCTCAGAGAAGAAACTTTTTTGTTAGTCTATAAATCATCATTACAGACTTGTTGTCAGTTGATCAACCACTCAGACCTCTCAGGTCTTTTGGCTCAAATCTAATCTGCAGAATCAGAACCAAACCTGGAGAAGCAGCTTTCTGTTCCTGTACTCCACTAAGTCCCAGCAAACTGTAAAAATGCCGACAAACTAAGTTGCTTAAAATAAAGGTTAAATGTCATGGTTTTGGTTCTGTTCAGGTTTTATCTTTCAGTTTTCGTTGGTCTTATTTCTATTTTTGTGTTCTAGTTATTTTTGATTGTATTTGTGTTCTTAGATATTTCCTGTTTGCTCTCTTGTGTCAGTGTCCTTTTCCCTAGCTCCCTTCTTGCCTCTGTTCACACCTGCTCCCAATCTGCTAATTAGCCTGGTCTAAACTTGTTTTTCCTCATCAGATGGTTATCAATTTTTATAAATTCATATGATGTGAATTTCTGGAATTTTCTTTGGGATTCTGTCTCTCACTGTTAGAATGTGCATATGATTAAAATTGTAGATTGTTACATTCTTTGTAAGTGGGCAAACCTGCAAAATCAGCAAGGGGTCAAATACTTATTTCCTCCACTATAATTTCCCATATTGATGTGTGGGGAAGGGAAGATAAAAAAAAAGGAGCAATGGTGAGTAAAGTTATATTTGTTCAAATGCTCCTAAAAAAGTATTTATAAATGCTTATTTTTTTTATCTTTTTTATTACTTTTCCTTTTCTTGTCGTTTATAGTATTTTACCAGAACATAAAAAAATGTGATGAGCGCATCTTCAGGAGTGAACTTACAGAGCATGTGCACATGACGCATTGATTGCTTTGCCTGGATGGAAAGAAGCCCTGGTTGGTGAAGGTCTCCCCTGGCTGATAGACTGTCCCATTGTGCCTGCAGGTTTTGACAGGCGCCCTCAGTCCTGCTGGGATCCTGGGTTCATCTGAGGATGACACACGGACCGTCACTCTCTTTAGCAGAGGTTGGCGATACAGGGAATTTATTATTCGATACAATACCAGGTAAATGCAGGGTCAGCATTGCTGATATCGATAGGAAACCGATTCTTTTTACATTTAAACTTGATGAATCATGGAACTGTTGACCTTTCTGTGTTTTTGTGTTTATTTATGTTATTGTTACAATTGATTTATAACAATATTA